CCTATAAGGAAATTTCAGCCGATATCTATATTTGTTATTATTAATGGTGTCATGGCTGATGTATTTACCGATATTACAAGCACACAAATTATTTATATACATGTACACACAAATACACTTGTGTATTTTTTCAATATAGTTTAAAAAATATGATCAGACCTCTGACATGGCTCTATGCTTCAGTTATTCCTGGCTGTGCAGCGTCACTATCATGATCAAACAGATACCACTCGACCAACCATTTCCCTCCCGAAAAAGAAACACAACTAAAAAGAGGGAAATCAATATCGGATGTTAATATTTGCCCAATTTTACTTATCGAACCGATACAGATATTCTAAAAAATGACTAACATCGGCCGACACTGCCTTATATCCCTTATACATGTCAGAAATACTTCTGGTGTCTTTATGTATAATTACTTATCTTGTCCAACACCGATCCCAATGAGACATTTTAAACAATTCTCTCATTATACGTGCTTSTCTAAAATGCTGCTCTAACCAGTTAGGTTTAGGTTTGTAACAATATAAAAAGTAATTGCTGCAGTCTGAATTTCAGTCTGGAGCATCAACACTTTTTTGTCCACTTTAGGTCTGTTTGAGGTTTTTTAACAGTATCTGCAGTGATGAAAACATTTTCATTCACAACTTTCATATTGTTTTTGACACTTTAAGTGAAATTCCTAAATTCTGCTTTACTTGAGTTTAAACTTTTCCCATCAGGTTTCAGCATTTTTTTTCTTGATTTTTGTTTCCAACGTAGTTTATTTTTTATGATTCAGTGTGGTTTAAATAAGAGGAAAAAGTGTAGGGTTTTGAGTTTAAAACTTTATTGATGAAGTTAAAGCTGATTTCAGGTCTTTCAGGGAAGAACGCGACATTTCAAAAGAGAAATACAGAAAGAAGCAGAAAATCTTCATCTGAAAGTTTCTGGAACATTTAACTCAAAATTTCCGCTTAAAAAACATAAAATCAAAAGTTTAAAAATAAAATTCAGTGTAATTCAACAAGTAAGAAGATAAATTTGTGTTTAAATATTTGATTACTGTGATCTGTAATAATAAGAAATAAATTAACCTCAATCACTTCTGCTCAGAAAACCACAGAAGAAGAAACTTCAGACTGATGAGAATGCTTCCTGTTCAGCTGCTGACACTCTGGTCTTCTCTGGTTATTGATCTGATCATGTGACACAGTCATGAACACCTGGAACCAATTAGCAGCTGGAACTGATCACATGAAAATCAATTTATTGTGTGAATCTGATCAGAGCCATCAATTAGTCCGCATCTGTTAGCGCTCACTCAGCGATCAATAACTGGATTAAAGAAGCTGCGGTGGTTACAGAAGACACCAGCAGGCACTGTAGAGCCTTCAGTGAACGCACCACCACAGAAACACTACAGAGGCCAGTAGACCAATCAGAGAACTTGCTGCTGAGGAGGGGGCGGAGTTACACAGGTCGGAGTTGCAGCACCTGAAGGTGAAGCTGGACACCTGGAAAAAAAGCAACAGTTAAAAAAAATCAGTTATCAAACAGTTCAACTGATCGAAACCAAACAAGAAGCTGTTCAGGATCAAACAGGAAGTTGTTCTATGTTAACTAGTTTGTACCAAAATAAAAGAGCAGAACTGTTTCTGTTGAAACTTCCGTCCAAACTTTATTGGGCCAGGTCAGAATTCTGATGTGTGCCTGTGTGGGTCAGACTGAAATCCAGAACCAAGAACGTTACTAAATTTGGTTTGATCCAGAGCTCTCTTTAATAGATGAGGCTTCAGTTCTGTGTCTAACTCTAACTTTGTTTKATCAGGACTGAACAATGGGTGGAAAACCCCTAACCCTCAACCAGCCTCAGTCCAAACCAGAGGTCTTCAAYCCTGTTCCTCATGRCCCACTATCCTGTTTTAATGTTTTCTGCTTCAACACACCTGACCAAAATAATGAGTGATTGACAGGACACTGATAAACTCAGGGACATTCTGAGGTCATTTAATTATTTGAACATGGTGCGCTGAAGCAGRGAAACAGCTAAARCATGCAGSACAGTGGGCCACCAGCAACAGGGTAGAAAAACTCTGGTCCAACCAAAGAACTGGGTTTGGACCAAAGTCTGAGAAAGTTTCTGAGACTGAAGGTCTTGCAGGTTTTTTTGGTCAGATCTGTTTTTATTTTCATCTTTATCTTGTCTGACTRCAGGATGAGGTGGATTCTGGTAGAACAGGTCCTGCTGAGTGGTCTGAGGTGTAGGACGATACCTGAGGGAACATCTGAGCCAGGCGGTTCCTCTCGCAGTCCGAATACTTCAGACACTGACGGTAGGTCATCCCACCTGCAGAACAACAGAAWAACAAACTGTGAGCTGCAGGACTTGGGTGAGTACATCAGGATTTCCTGGACAATGATGGCTGCTTTCTTGACCAACCGAAGTCAAAGTTCTTTGTGTGCAGGTGTGGTAATCCCGTCTCAGGTAGAGGGGCACAGATTTGATGTATGCAGGTGTGTAGTACAGGTTCATTCAGTCACAGGTGTRCAGGTTTACAGGTGTACAGGTGTGGCGTACCTCTCTCATTGAGCGTGAGGCAGGCATCATCGTAGCTGCAGTCTCTCTGTTTGGTGCAGCTGGATGTATAGTCTTTACAGCTGTAGCAGCGAATGGCTGATCCTGTAACAAAAATCAGTTTAAAGTGTTTGTGACGTGCATTTCCTTCAAATAAAAAAAAGACAAAACATCTTTATGTTTAAGAAACGACAGCACAGTTTTACCCATTTCATTACATAAAGGGAAGATTTTATTCTGAACTTGGCTCAGCTAAAGGTAAACAGGAAGTGACATCAAAGGGGAACTCGGGTTTTTATTTATTGAAACAATATTATTTGAACTCTGGTTCTTCTTCATCTCTCTCACAGTGACTCAAAATAATCTAAAGAAACAGATTATTCTGTGTGATTTGCCATTGTTGCACTGCTCTGTTCACATTCCCCTTTGACATCACTTCCTTTTACTTCACATGCAACTATCTCAACAACTGTTGCAGCTTGAAAATATTTAGCAACTTTTCATCATTATCTTTCAAAAAATTCATTCATACTTATTGGAAAACTTTGACGTCACAGGCACTTTAAAGACGTGTCATAACCTCACAGGTGTGGTTTGATCAGACTGAGYTGTGAAACAGACTTTTATCTCTGAGATCTTCTGAACAGGTGAACCAGGTGGGTCTGAGTCTGTTCCACACAAATACTATGATCAGCGTCAGTCAGAACATTATGGATCCAGAAAGCTGACCAGTCAGAGGCTGACCTCAGCATTTGTGCCTGTTTTGTGTAAAAATGTCTGTTTTTTGCTCTTACGGTTGTAGGGTGTAACAAATCTCCTGCCCAGTGCACAAGTGGATTTATTGATATCCTAAAGAGATCAAAAACCAAACCAGAGGCCATCAAAGAGATCAACAATAAGGAGCAATGTTACAGAATCTAACAAGAACAAAACTACAAATTTCATCATCAATATCATCCAGTTTGTTTATAAAGCACATTTTAAAAACAACAAGTTGTCACCAAAGTGCTGAACACAAGGCACAAATCAATATATAAATTTGATAAAAAAAAATGTCAGCCTAGAACAAGCAAACATGTAAATAAAGGGTGAACTGTAACAATGACAGTAATCCTGGGATCCTCTTGGTTCATACCAAAATTGAAAATAAATAAATAAATAAATAAATGTACTGCTTTCAATGTTGCTTAAATGTTTCATCGATGTTTCTGAAAATTTCCTGAAATTCTAAAAATGATCTTGTAAATTATTTGCACCATGCTTGGAGTTTTTCTAAAGCTCCTGGAATATTTCTCAAAGGTTCTTTRAATAATCTTTAAAATGCTCTTAAGAGTTTCTTGAAACGTTCCTGATTTTTTTTTTCTGAAATATTCCTTGAATGTTAGTGTTTATGGAGCGCTGAGGTGCTGCCCCCTACCGGTTAGACTTTGTTACAGCTGATCAAAGTTTAAGCCTCAAACTTTCACTGTTTTCTAATTAAGAACAGTGTTTCTTGTTATTTTCATTTGGTCTTTAAAAACAAAGCCAGAAGTTAAAACTTGTCACAGCATGAACTAATATTCAGTAAAATATTGATTAATTGCACGTACCGAGCCCGATCAGAGAGGAACCAATCAGCAGGCAGATCACCAGGGAGCGCTTCATTTTGACCTCAGTCCAGCTCACAGACTCATCTGCAGTTAGACAGAAACATTTCAGTTATAGAGCTCACTGTGACCTCTGACCTTAACTCATTTACAGTGAAACATTTATATCAGTGTATTAAAATAAAGTCTAACGTTTCTTAACTTGACCCCTAACCCCCAGTGATGGAGACATGGGGACAGCAGGAACACGAGATGGTTGCAACGTGTTATTTTTCTCTAAACAGAAACAAGCTAGAGTGATGAAACTCACACTGTACATGCTCAGTTAGATGCCCCCCC